GCGCACTCTGTATATATATATATATATATATATATATATATGTGTGTGTGTGTGTGTGAAATACGTTTAAATTCTTGATTAATACATTTTAGCTAAATACATTTAAATCACAAGCTGATTGTATGAGTGTGTTTTCTCAGCAGGCTTTAGTAATGAAGGACGTCTGCTGGACCCATCTCGTAAGGGCTCTGTGGTGAATGTAAACCCAGTAAACACTCGCCCACAGAGTGACACACCAGAAATCCGCAAATACAAAAAGAGGTTCAACTCGGAGATTCTGTGTGCTGCACTTTGGGGTATGTACTACATAATAATAGCCCACTGGAAGTAGGACATGTGGATACAGAAAATGAACACCTTATTGTTAATTTTTCATCACTCTCTCTTTTTCTTATTTCCTTGTGTAGGAGTAAATCTGTTGGTAGGAACTGAAAGTGGCCTCATGCTTCTTGATCGAAGTGGGCAGGGGAAAGTTTATCCACTTATTAACAGACGCCGTTTTCAACAAATGGATGTTCTTGAAGGCCTTAATATTCTAGTGACAATATCAGGTTAAAGAATATATGACTGACTTGTCAGAGCATGTTTAAATTCTTGCTCATTCTTTTAGCGAATATTTGAATTTTCTGTTTATAACCCTTTTACAGGAAAGAAGAACAAACTGCGAGTTTATTATCTGTCATGGCTGAGGAACAGGATTCTGCATAATGACCCTGAGGTGGAAAAGAAACAGGGTTGGACTACAGTGGGGGAGCTGGAGGGATGTGTGCACTACAAAGTCGGTAAGTTTCCAGCTATCAGGCATGGTTAGTACAACAGGAATCTGTAAAATACAATTATAAAAATTTCTCTTTTTTTGTCACTTTGTAGTTAAATATGAAAGAATCAAGTTCTTGGTTATTGCCTTGAAAAATTTAGTGGAAGTGTATGCTTGGGCACCAAAGCCATACCACAAGTTTATGGCCTTTAAGGTGAGTGCAATACCCGACATACTCAAATCACACCATTTTCCCACCTAATTCAGCTTCAATGTATACTTCTCTTCACACTGAAGGTGCTGGATGCAAAATTTTGGAATAATGTCAATCCACAAATCTGACTTGTGATGCAGTACTATAATTCACATTGTTCGTTCATTTAGAACTGGTTCCCCAGCTGAGCCTAGTTTCTCTTGAGGTTTTTTGTCCATTTCCGTCACCTGATGATGGAGTTTGGGTTTCTTTGGCTTGTTTAGTTGGGGTTTGACAAACAATTAATATTCAGTAATACACCACTGACACTATCGGATAACTGTATTTAGCTGAATAACAATATTATTGTCTTTTTAGAGCTGCTTTACAATTGAATTTCTTTTTATAACTGACAACATTGCACCATTGACACTGCTGTCATTTCATAATTGAAGAGTTTTACAACACTAACACGGTTTATTTCTGTGAAGATGCTTTCAACAAACAATCTGTATTGTACAGTCAAACCGAAATTTATTCAGACACCTTCAACATTTCACACATTATCACAGTTTATTCGCTATAGTTTAGAAAATGGTAATAAAATATTACAAGAACTCAGAGTTAAACTGTGTCAGAACAAATTCATCTCAGATGTCAGATAACACTTAAGCAAAACATGGGTATAATAGGTCACAGTTTACTTTATTTTGCTATCCTCACTTACATAAATAAACTATAGTGTCCTGCACTCACTAGTAAAAAAAAAATGTCAAAAATTATATCTGGTGTCTGAATAATTTTTGGTTTGACTGTATAAAGCGCTATAGAAATAAAGGTGACTTGACATTGAATTGCAGGTTTTAGTCAAATGTAAATTTTTTGAAAATCTGAGTGGTGGTTGTCTCTTGACTGACATCACCATCTTGTTTCGTAGTCATTTGGAGACCTGGTCCACAAGCCTCTCTTAGTTGATCTGACTGTGGAAGAGGGTCAAAGATTAAAGGTCATCTATGGCTCCTGCTCTGGTTTTCATGCTGTAGATGTGGATTCAGGGGCAGTTTATGACATCTACCTTCCCACACATGTAAGCTCTTTTAGGACTTTGACTACTGAATTAAATTTTGTCAGATGCTGTTTTTTTATTCCAGCTTTTAATATTGTGATCTTTACTGTTTTAAATTAGTTTAAGGACAGATCATACTTGCTGTAATCATTTTAATCAAATACTTTGCACTTTTTCTTTTTCTCAGATTCAAACAAATATCCAAACCCACGCCATCATCATCCTCCCAAACACACAAGGCATTGAGCTGTTGGTGTGCTATGAGGATGAAGGCGTGTATGTAAACACTTATGGAAGGATCACCAAAGACGTGGTGCTGCAGTGGGGTGAGATGCCCACCTCTGTGGGTAAGTTGAATTTTTGTGGAGGGTTTATATTCCACTTCAGATTACAGAATACCCTAGTGGAAAACAAGAGTCCAGTGGTGGATGAAGTACATGAATAATTTGCTTGAGTACAGCTACCGTAATGAAATATTAAAGGGTTAGTTCACCCAAAAATGAAAATTCTGTCATTAATTACTCACCCTCATGTCGTTTCAAACCCGTAAGACCTTCGTTCATCTTCGGAACACAAATTAAGATATTTTTGATGGAATCTGAGAGCTGTCTGACCCTGCATAGACAGCAATACAACTGAAATGTTCAAACGTAGTCCAAAGTCCAAAAACGTAGCAAGGAGATCTGTAAAATAATCCATGTGACATCAGTGGTTCAGCCGTAATTTTACGAAGCTACGAGAATTTTTGTGCGCAAAAAAAAACAAAAACTTTATTCAACAATTCGTCTCCTCCGCATCACCCTGATGCCATTTTGGAGAATATCCGCTGGACGTAAACAGTGCTGTTCTGTGTAAACTGCGTCACGCCAGATACGCTGTTTCCATTTAGATCAAATCACAACAACATAGGAAACAGAACCGGCGTGACGCAGCTGACACAGAACAGCATACGTTGTTTATGTCCAGCGGATATTCTTCAAAATGGCACCCACCAGGGTGATGCGGAGGAGACGAATTGTTGAATAAAGTCTTTTTTTTTTTCGCACAAAAATTATTCTCGTATCCTCGTATAATTGCAGATGAACCACTGATGTCACATGGATTATTTTACAGATCTCCTTGCTATGTTTCTGGACTTGGGGACATTTCAGTTGTATTGCTGTCTATACAGGGTCAGACAGCTCTCAGATTCCATCAAAAATATCTTAATTTGTGTTCCGAAGATGAACGGAGGTCTTACGGGTTTGAAACGACATGAGGGTGAGTAATTAATGACAGAATTTTCTTTTTTGGGTGAACTATCTCTTTAAATAGTAACTTTGCACACCATCAGTCAAATCCTCTGCATACTCAAAATCATATTTCTCCAACTTCTTGGTTCATTAGTTAACTGGAGACTTGCTCCATCTGAAACATTGAATCAATGAGTTGTGACAGCATACAGATACCTGTTCTGTTCACAGTTTCTGACATAACCTAAATGCTTGAGTCTGCTGACAACAGGACAAATGGAAGAGTAACGTTTGCGTTTTCAACATGTCTTGTTTAAATAGCTTGTTTGCATCTCTGTATAGCCTTCAGAAGGATCCCAGCATCAGGAACAAGTGGATGGTTTATTTTTAGTTGACGGCAGCTCACCACTGTATATGTGTGTGTGTTTTATCTATACTTGTGAGGACCAAATGTCCTCATGTGAAATACTTTGACAACCCACTAGTGTGGACATTTTACTGGTCCTCACTAGTTAAAAAGGCTTATAAATCAGCCAAAATATGTTTTTATTTAAATCTAGCATTCTGCATATGTTTCTGTGATGGGTAAGTTTAGGGGTAGGGGTTGGTTTAGATGATAATGATGAAAATATCATTAACTTGATAGAAGGTTAATGAAAGTCCATGCAATGTCCTCACTAAGATAGCGAAACAAACATCTGATGTGTGTGTGTGTGTGTGTGTGTGCTTGTTTTCTTTATCTGATTTTGATTATGTCAGGAATATATCAGTTAATTGAACTCTGCATTTTTTTGTAGCTTACATAAGATCGAACCAGATCATGGGCTGGGGGGAGAAAGCTATTGAGATCCGTTCTGTGGATACTGGTCACCTGGATGGCGTGTTCATGCACAAGAGGTCACAACGGTTGAAGTTTCTCTGTGAAAGAAATGACAAGGTTAGACATCCACACAGAATTCAGCAAAAAAATAAAAAGATTATGGCATACCTTATGGAACCCAAAAAAAAAAAGGCAGCATCCTACTCACTTTCATGTCATTCCAAACCTGTATGATTTGTCTGTTTTACATGGAGTGCAGAAAGAGAAGAATGTCTGCCACAGATATTCCTGTTATACCAATGTCACATTAAAATAGCAAGTGTTACATTATTTTCCTGACAGATAAAAATAGACTGTAATGGAAAATGTACAGCTCACTCAAACTGGCAGACAAAGATTATTTGTGGCTCAGCCTTTTTATACCACAGAGCATTTCACTAAAATTGCATTTAAAAAAAAAGTTTTTTGTTTTTTTTCCCATCAAATGAATTTTGCACTTTTAGCCAAACTGATGCTTCACCCAGACTTTTTGAAAGATATCATCTTTGGCCATTAACAAACATTGTCATTCGAACCAGTATTTGAAAGAAACAATGCTGCTGGCTGAAATGATCTTCTGTCATGTAATTGGCTGATTTGAACAATTTAATTAAAGTAATTAATTCAATAGGTGTTCTACATTCTTATTGGTGTTTTGTGCACTCCACATTTAGTGCTTAAAAGATGCCATATCACCAAAGGTGTTTATATTTGTTTATTTTTTGTGTTACACTTCATTTTATGGTATTCTTGTTACAGTGTAATTGTACATTTAAGTACTAAGTAATACACTGCTCAAAAAATTAACCACTTAATAATCACAGTTCCACTATAACACCAAGTCAATTAAACTTCAGGGATATCAGTCTGTCCAGTTAGGAAGTGTAAGTGATTGTGAATCAGTTTCACCTGCTTTGGTGCAAATCAAAGTGACAAGTGCACAAGAGAGGTAACGGCTAAACAACCCCCAAAAAGGGAATAATTTTGCAGGTAGTGCACCAGCACAGACAATTGCTTTCTCCTTAACCTTCCTGACAGATTTCTCTAGTTTTGTGTTTTATTAGGGTCAGTACTTATAGCATGGGGCAGTACCTGCAACCCAGTCAGGTTGCACAGGTAGTCCTGCTTCATACAGGATGACGTGCTGTCGCATTGAGGTTTGGTCTGTCTCCCTGCACAGTCTCAAGAGCATGAAGGAGGTACTGAGCCTGGCCTCATGTGACCATACATGTGGTCACGTAAAATTTGACTACGACCCCAGCACTTATTGAATTTTTTCACATTAAATACCAACTATTGTCCTGTAAAAATAAAAAGCAGCATTTAATAATAATAAAATGACAATATATAATAATAATTAATATAATACAATACAATAAAACTATTAATAGAGTTTTTATTATTAAAGTACCTGCCAAAAGTTTGGAAACATTACAATTATTAATGATTTTCAAATAAATCTCTTCCAAGGCTGCATTTATTTTATCAAAAATAAAGAAAAAATAAAAACAGCAATATTGTGAAATATTAATACATATAATTAAAAAAAAGTTTTATATTTTAATATATTATAAAATGTAATTTATTCCTGTGATGCAAAGCAGAATTTTCTGCATTATTACTCCAGTTTTCAGTATCACATGATCTTTCAGAAATCATTACAATTTGATTTGATGCTCAAGAAACATTTCTGATTATCATCAGTTTAAAACAGTTGTGCTGCTTCATATTTTGTGTGGAAATGGTGATACATTTTATTTTTCAGGATTTTTTTGATAAATAGAAAGTTGAAATGGATAAATAGAAACTTGCATTTATCAAATATATTTATTACATTTATTAAAACATTTATTAAATATAAATTTGTTTTTAGTTTGCATGATAGGACTAGGTATTATGATCCCAATATTCAGCACCATTTAGCCGCACCATAGAACATTTGTGAGCAGAACACAGCGAGACACAGCAATTGTTATGCTCTGATTTTGGTTCAGCAAGAATCCAGGATCATGGCCTAATCCATGGCCGTGGTACTTGCCTCCAGTGCTTAATTTGTAAATGAATAATTGCCGGATCCAAAACAGCAATTAAAAGGCGCTGTGACCGACACTGAAAATACAACTTAAGTTTTCCCGGAACATTCAATGACGTCACTAAACGGTGATGCCACAATTATAAGAGAGCATCGTTCACAAGTTTCTGCATTAACCTAATTAGGGCACCGCTTCAAACCCTGGGTCAAAAATGGGTTGCCAGGATGATTTTAGGAAAATGTATATCTAAAATACATTAAAAATAACAAAATTTGTTTTCATAAAAATAAAATTCAATCATAGTATAAATATGCGAAAAATATCTGACTTAAGTAACAGTTTTAATTAAATGCGCATCCTTGCTTTATTTCACACAATCACAAATGTTCTGTTGTTATTTTGAGTGTGCAAAAAAGTAAAAGTAAACACTTTGTGTTTTCGAATTATGTCTTACTCTTATCTGTATGACCAAAAATTATGTAGTTTATGTTTCAGCCGGCGCCTCGCGCGCGCGCACTCAAACACGCTCAAACACGCTCAAACACACACACACACACACACACACACACACACACACACACACACACACACACCACATATTCACAACTCAAACTTGACATCGCAGTCTGTTCATTATCAAAATAAAATAGTCAACCAAAAATATAAAAGGTTACACTGATCAATTTAAATAGTCCGTGGTATACAGTCGTGGTCAGAATTATTGGCACCCTTGGTAAATATGATCAAAAAAGGCTGTAAAAAAATCTGCATTGTTAATCATTTTGATCTTTTTATTTAAAAAATTCACATAAATCTAATCTTTCATTAGAGAATAAGAATTTAAAATGGGGGGAAATATCATCTTGACATAAATGTTTTTCTCTAATACACATTGGACCCCGGAGCAGTGGGCAGCCTTTTTTTATGCTGCGGCGCCGGGGAGCAGTTGGGGGTTCGGTGCCTTGCTCAAGGGCACCTCAGTCGTGGTATTGAAGGTGGGAGAGAGCACTGTACATTCACTCCCCCCACCTACAATCCCTGCCGGTACGAGACTCGAACCCACAACCTTTGGGTTATGAGTCCGACTCTCTAACCATTAGGCCATGACTTCCCCATTTGGCATAACAGCAGCTCTGAGTTTTCTCCTATAATGCCTGATGAGGTTAGAGAGCACCTGACAAGAGATCAGAGATAATTCCTTCATCCAGAATCTCTCCAGAATCAGAATGAGCTTTATTGCCAGGTATGTTTACACATACAAGGAATTTGTTTTAGTGACAGAAGCTCCACAGTGCAACAGAATAACAGTGACAAGACCGGACACAGGTAATAAAAAGAATAATATACAAATATACAAAATAGACAATGTACAAAAAAAGCAAAAGCACAATATATAATATAGACAATTTTGTATGTACAAGTATGATATGTGCAAATTTGAAATGTAAATAAGTATGTGTGGTAAATAAATAATGTATACTAGTGTTTTGTGTTCCACTATTATTGTTAAGTGTTCATGAGATGGATTGCCTGAGGCAAGAAACTGTTCCCGTGTCTGGTCGTTCTGGTGCTCAGTGCTCTGTAGCGTCGACCAGATGGCAACAGTTCAAAGAGGGAGTGTGCTGGATGTGAGGGGTCCAGAGTGATTTTGCTAGCCCTTTTGCTCACTCTGGATGAGTACAGTTCTTGGAGAGTGGGGAGGGTTGTACCAATGATTCGCTCAGCAGTCCGGACTATCCTCTGTAGTCTTCTGAGGTCAGATTTGGTAGCTGAGCTGAACCAGACAGTTATAGAAGTGCAGAGGACAGATTCAATGATGGCGGAGTAGAACTGTTTCAGCAGCTCTTGTGGCAGGTTGAACTTCCTCAGCTGACGAAGGAAGTACATACTCCCGCAGCGAATAGAACGGCTTGCAGTTAACGAAGAGCGCTTCTAGATCGGGACAATACATCTTCTTTAACACTGTTACATCTGTACACCACCATTCGTTGATGTAAAAGCATGTCCCGCCGCCGCGCGATTTCCCCGTTGATTCTGCGTTGAGTCTGCTCTAAACAGCTGAAAGCCGGGCAGATGTAGCGCGCTGTCCGGAATGGCGTCATTCAGCCAGGTTTCCGTGAAACACAGAGCAGCAGAGTTTGAAAAATCCTTCCAAAATCTGGCAGTAAGTTTTAGGAGTTCATTTTTGTCAGTCTCTGCAAGACAGACTTTTCAGGATAGGAGATGGACTAAAAATGAACTCCCAAAACTTACTGCAACATGGAGCTAAGGAGAAAATGTAGAACTTGAAAAATTGGAAAAACAGCTTAGTGAAAAGCGTTTACAGTTTAAAAGCAAATAGAAAGTCCTATTTTTTTTACATTTCTTTTCTTAATGTTTTTTTGCAGATTTGCACATGTACAAGGTTTAAAATATGATGCATATTTTATCAATATTTTAGAAATTTTATTTGAATATTACCAGTACTGACTTCAATGGATTTAATTAAATTCTTTTGAACACAACTGCTCAAAACAGTCTAAATTTATGAAACATGCCAATAATTGTGTCCAACGTGTATTTGAGAAAAACATTTATTTCATAATGAGATTTTCCCCAATTTTCAGTTGTTTTAGTTCAATGAAAGGTTAGATATTTGTGATGTTTTTTTAAATAAAAGATCAAAATGATTAACAATGCAGATTTATTTTCACAGCCTTCTTTGATCATATTTACCAAGGGTGCCAGTAATTCTGACCACGACTGTAACTGGTCCACTTTGTATGCCAAGCACATTTTTGCTCATGTGAAGAGGATATTTCTGTTGATATACGAGCGCGCATGAAGTAAAGCCTCTACATTATAAATAATAGTTTCATTCAAATACATTGCAAATAAGGAAACATTAGGATTTGTGCCGAATGAGAGGTACGTGAGCCCAATTAACGCCTGGTACTTTCAGTTTCAGTTTTTGATTTCTTTAGGTTTGTATATTTTTATTTCATTCTTGTTCTGTTCTGAATACCGTTACATTTATATGATTTGTTTTGGAGTGAACTATACTAA